GATTCGGTGGAGGCTTATGACGGCCGAGCGTGCCGTACCGCCGGCTGTAGGGCAAGCCTTATCGGGGATCGGCCGATCAGTGGGCAAGTCACGGCTTGAGGATTAAGGTTTCTCTGCTGCGCGCCGTTTCAGGAATACCTTCAGGTTCCTGTTGATCGGGCCAAAGTCCCTAAGCGTGCGGTCTGAAGGCACAATGACGGTACCAAATCAAGTGGAGGTCTTTGGAGTCATGACATCAATGCGGAAGCCGGAACATGGGATTCGGAGGCATCTTCGGAGCAAGATCATAAAATGAGCATTGCGCTTCAGCTGACCTTGCCGGCACGCGCCGCGCCCGAAAGGCCTTCTAGATTTGAAGGGAACTCCAGAAGTGAGAAGGACTCGGACGCCCCTCCGATCAAAGTCCAGATGCTGGCGCCTAGACTGGTCTAGCAGCTTCAAAGACCCACTGGGTCTGCTCGCATCCTTTTCTCTGATCCCATAGGCATGTGGGCTGCTCCGCCCACAGAAACAAGCATAACTGGAAGTGGCAGCTACAGCTGCTGACAGAGGGCATTTTGAAGCATGCCTAGTGAAGCAGAAACAGCGAGAACGTCGGCGATGGAGTTCGAGATGCTTTGGCCGCAGTCCTTTGTGGCATTCGTGTCGCACCTTTAGGGAAACATCCTTCCTGTGCGGAAGCTGCGGTGTATTGAAGATGTCTTCAAAGCCCGGGGCTACTGCCTAGCCTGCATGATCGAGCATCGCTCCAGCCCGTGCAGAATGGGCTGAGCCCTAGGCACGAACTCGTAGAGGAAGGGGTTGAGATCGCAGTCTTCCGTCATCTCCCAGCAGGAAGCTTGGCTGAGAGGCTTGCTTCGAAACAATCCGAGGCGCAGCCCAGGAATCCAGCCCTAGCCTCATGGGTTGCGGGATCTAGGGCTGTTTGCAAAGAACTCTGTCGAGTTGGTTCGGGAATGCAAAAACTATGACATAATTTATGACCTAACGGCACACGACATTGAGGCTCAGGCAGCAATTCAGGAGCTATCTCCCACCATTGTGCCAACATGGACTGCGAGCTACTTGGGCTTCCGCTACGGCGAGCTTGCATGATTCTATCCGCCTAGCCTATCTGAGCCTTACCGCAGGAACACTGGCTGAACATGTTCGCGTGAACTCCACAGCAGGAACCATACAAACGACAACTTCGGTGCTTTAGGTTTCGCTTGGGCTCAATGATGTCTGTTCATAGCTTTTTGTCATATCAAATAAGGAGATTCATGCTATTTCCCGGTTCAAGGAAGAGAACGAAGAACACATGCACAAGTCTCGAATGTCCAGCATGGATCACCACAAGGTCCTGACACCCTCTAATAGCAGACAAAACGCAAGCCCCAGGTTTCTGTCCATGTGAGAACTTGACACCCTCTCGAAGTGAAGCTTCTCGTAGCCGCAGGATTACAGTACTAGGTAAGGAACAATGGCGACTGGCACCGAAATATGTAAACCGGAAAAGGCAGACGAGGAGCTTGTTGGGGCAGATGGTCCAAATCAGCGAAAAGTCTTGGAATGTGAATCTGTCAGGCACACCTGGCAGCACTCAACCGAGAAGGAGGCTGATTTTCCTGAGTTCCGAGTCTAAGTCTTCGGGGCAGCGCAAGACGCGACTTCAGGTCTCCGGCATCGTTCGCCGTTCAAGGGACTAAATCGAAGAGGCTTACATCGTGAAGGCAACAGACGCTTAGACAAGCTTCCAGCCCCGACTCTCACACATTCGTGCCAGAACTGCCCGGCTCTCTACCAAAATATTTTGCCAGTAAAGAGCACCACCACTATAGGACCACCACGACCGCCAGGAGACAACGAGGACATGACCAGGAGACCGCCACGACAATCAGCTGAGGCTGCAAGATGCTCAACAAGAAAACCACGAGACCCCAAGGACAACTTCCCCGAATCCCGGCCCCTTTGCTTTCTCCCACTGGTGACTTTGCAGGATTCGTGAGCGGCGCCAGAATGCTTTGCCCCCATGCTGAGGAGGACGGCAAAAGCCTTTCTCCCAAGTACTGCTCCGATTCACGGAAGAATGTGTGCCCATGTATTGGGCTTTTGTTGGAATTTACAATGAAGCCGGATCTCCGGGAGATGGCTTCCAGCGGAGCCTCGATCCTCTCTAAATGATAGGACGCGTCGCAGCGGCAGCCGCGCCCCGGGCACGCTCTTCCCTCGCATTCGGGGAAGTCTGCAAAGCCCAGACGGAATCGTGCCTATGCTCGCGTGGGAAGCATCAGAAAGCGCTTAGACTGAAGAAGCCGACACAGACGGAAGCTCATTATGAATCAAGCAGTTGTCCCTGACATCGCATGGGGATGTACTCACAGAGTCCAACAAAGCCTCAAGAACATGCTGTTACGCTGAGAAGCGATCTTTTGTTGAAACTCGTTCTCAATCCCGGAGGAGGGATACGGCCACTACGAAAACACATCACGGCAAAGATCACAGCAAGAACCGCTGTACTACCAAGCCAGAAGACCACCACAGTGTACCCACACCGCCAATGCCGGCGTCATTTTGAGCAAGCATCCGAATGGCGCCTTGGGCCAAGTTGTGGATGCTAGGGCGCGACATCGCAACTGTAATCCCAGTTTGAAAGTCTCTCGCTTTATTCTGTCAAAGACGTTGGTTTGAGGTGGGATCTGTGAATCGGCTTTCAGGATTTCGACGGAGCAGAGTTACAGTTAGAGCATAAAACTCGGGCACCCAGCGCGGCAACCCGTAACCTTGGGCTCCTGACTCGCTTTGAGCCGAGCTCGGAGGCCATGCGAGGGAGGCTTCGAGGTTCGGAACTGGGGTCCGGAGCTTGGCCTAGAGACAGAACGGAATGCAACAAAGGACAAAACCAGCGGCTTGCCAATGAAGCAGCCGGCCTTTTGCTGGCTACTAAATCTCGCCGCTCTATGCAACGGACCAAATTTGTCCTGTGACTTCTTCACGCAAAGCCAAGAAAGATCACGGTCTCGACGATGTGTCCGAAGGATAAACGAACATCCGAGCTCGCCAGTTGGCCAACCTGGATCATGCCTCGCTAGTTGTGGGGTGGCGCCGGTAGATGTGCTAGGTCTGACCACAGTTCAACAGCAAACCACGAACTCAACAGCAGCATTGCCAATATGACCCTGGAGTGATATAACAAGGGTGGGGCTCCTTGACTTTCAGGACGCCAGCTCTCGAATCCATCTGAGCACCAGAACCCATGTAATATCGAAGGGAAATCTAAGAAGCCCTCCCGAATCCAGCTTCCAGCCAGTGAGAATTGACATCCAACCAGCGTGCCGCAGCTTTGCGAAGCCTGCTGCAAGGTAGCATGGCACCAATATGCTCATGACTAGAAACTTCCATAACTAGGCTTGGGCATCAGTACTCTCGGCATGTGTCACCACAAAGCCAGCCCCTAGCAAGAAGAAGTATGACGAGCCTAACAACGAGCACATGATGGTCGCACGAAGAGCAGAAGGGGTGAAGACTCATTTTCTCATTTTGCTACCTGTTCCCGATACGATGCTCTGGTACAGTGGGCAGGGAGGCAACAACTCCAGTGTTCATCAAGTTCGATGGTCATTTGCCCATGAAGCATTATGTCAAAAAGCTATAGAGCCTTACCCGTGTACACATCTTCTATTCCATCATGTTGACAAAGGCGTGTACTGTGTACAAAACTTCCGAACCGTTGAACGTCCGAGCCCGACAGCCCGTCAAATCCGTCCAGTCCCAAAACCGAGTCAATGACATGCACAAGTACGCATCCTTTTCCCAAGACGGCCATGCACACTATCCACACTGGTGAAGCGGCGAAGCCCGACAAAGACACGCAATCGTCACGATCTGGGGATGAAAACACTGCCCACTGCCCAATACAATGTAGGGGATGCGGGGAATCACGGATGCAACCCCATCTCATGCATGCATGTATGTCGGATTTGTAATTGGGGGCTTGCGGGAATGCAGCTCTCCCGGATTGCAACTGAATCCTGCGATCAAAATAGTAACGGCTTGTTCCAGCAGCTTTGGGATTCGGAGTTGAAGGCCGTAATGGGTTCCTATGAGGATTTATGGGCTTGAAAGACGATTAGTAAGGAAAGCTGCTTAGGGAGACGAACCGTGGCTTGCGCCAGGTGTGGTGCAGCAGGGCATGCATGGCTACTGACATACCGTGACATACCCATCAATTCAACCCGACAGCTCCTGTTAAGGCTGACTCGGAGACAATCCCTCATCCAGTCTCGGCAGCCAATGTGCATCGGCGCAAAGCGAAGGCCTTGTAGAGGTTCCTTAGCGCTGCTTCATGCTTACATGACCACATGTGGCGGCTTCGTGAACGAGATTCAAGTGCTCAGTTGTGCCTGCTTCACCAACCGAATCCCGCCAGAAAATGATGTCACTCCATGCATGTTACTGTTAGGCAGAAAGCGTGAAGACCTGGGAGGCCGAACTCTTGCAGGAACGAAATGGCGTTTCTTGCTGCAGCTGTGTCTAAGCAGTGTGACTGCTCATGGTTTCAAGCCGTTAGAGAAGCCATGAACATCCATAAACTGCGACCCCGTTCGCCACTACGAAATCTGCTGTTATCTCCATAAGGGGTTTGCCGCATGGCCTGCTCTGTGGATAAAACCCTGATTGTGCTAGGTCATTGCCAGGCCTTGCGCGCGATGTGACCGGTGGCTGCAGGGTCCGCTGGTTGAAATCTCCTGGCGAACGGTTTTCGGCTTACAGGGCAGCGACGAAGCACCAAGCAACTTGGAAACCTGGGCTGCCCTTGGCCGCTTTCCGGATCATCCTTTCAGCCGGAATCCTACGCTTGAACGCCTGTGACCTCAAGCCTCTACCTCCTTCATCCAGGGGAAAACCCAGGGCTCTAGTTCGCATGTCAGACGGCGACTTTCTTGTTCTTCTTCTCATTACCAAACTATCAGTATTACGATTGCTATGAGAAGCCAGCATTTTCCTGGAGCGTCCGTGCTCTACGCACTGGTCTTCGTGGCGGCCCAAACGTCCCACGACTTCTTCACGCAAAGTCCGCAAATGACCAACATCTCGAGAGACAAAGAGCGTGCATAATTCGATGTCTTCGAAGGATGGACGAAACTGGCCAACTCACCGGTTGGCCAACCTGGATCATGCCTTGCTAGTTGTGGGGTGGCACCGGTGAGATGTGCTAGGTCTGACCACAGTTCAACAGCAAACCACGAACTCAACAGCAGCATTGCCAATATGACCCTGGAGTGATATAACAAGGGTGGGGCTCCTTGACTTTCAGGACGCCAGCTCTCGAATCCATCTGAGTACCACAGACCATGCAGCATCAGCATTGCCAACGGAAGATGGCGAACATAATTTGGGCTGAGGAAGGCAAAAACCCCCACGACAAAGCACACAACAAGTGAACTCCAGATCGTAAGAGTCCAGCGCGCCACCTTGGAACATGGCTTTCCAACATCGATGGAAAGGACGAGCAGAGGCCCCACGAACTCGACGAGCATCCACCCGCACGATAGTAGGGCTGTCATCCATGGCGTGTTTTTTGCCCAAGCATTGAAGACGGGAAAAAAGGACGGGAAGTCTAGAGCTTTCCGCGTCCAACTCCCCGTAAGAACTGATGTCCAGCCAGCGTACCGCAGCTTCGCAAAGCCTGCTGCAAGGTAGTATGGTGCCAGTATGCTCATGACCAGGTACTTCCACAACCATGCTTGCACATGAGCATCTCCAGCGTCTGCCACCACGAAGCCAGCACCTACCACAAAGAAGTACGACGAGCACACGCTGGTGGTGGGCGCAAACATCATGCTCAGGCTGCCAAAATAGAAATATATCGCCGCTCCCCAAGCATAGCACGCGGTGGAGGTGATTCTCCAGGCGCATGGTGCGATCAGGAAGATGCACCACGCAAACAACATTGTGGCTAGAAGGCCAGCATGAAACGAGGCATAGCCGTCAGCAGTGCTGTTGTCCAGATCTGGCATGAACAAATACGTGAGCCGCGGCATTAGATGCGGTGTTTCTTCGAGGCTGTGACCTTGCAGTAGGCCCAGCTCGTCCTTGGTGGAATTCCCTGCCCTGTCTTCTCAGTGCTTTGTTGAACTTCGGAGCTAAACTTAAGCGGATGCAAAATGCAGCAGAGGTTCTCCTGGCCCGTACGGATGTCGCCGCACTCTTCTCAACATATCGGGCACAGAGAGAACTGCAACCATCGGCGCTGTCACGCCAAGCAGCTCAATCAGTAACAGCATGCATACGTAGACTTTCACGGAACTTACTGAAAGCCGTGGGCCGCGATGCCACCAAGCGGTAAGCTTGTCGAGGCGGAAGGATGAATTGCTTGCTGCAGGCAACCCAGGCCGCCAAACGCCGAAAGCGGTGCAGAGAAGGACGAGTGGCACAAACCAGCAGGATCCAATGCCAAGCATGTCTTCGCGCATGTCTTGCGCCGTCATGATTGCCAGTCGGTTCGAAGGCGCGCTAACGTTATAAAGACAGACATGCGTGAAGACGGAGCAGAGTCTTGGGTGAGAAGCCTTCCACTCTAGCCACTGCTGGTCCACCAATGCTGGCGCCCAATTCCCGGGCTCCTCTTGCAACGGCTCACCTTAGGGTCATTCCAAGTTTACTTTCATGTGACAACGGTTTTCGACTCCTCTACGCGACCCCTAGTTGCTCTTCTTGTTTGGAAGATCTTCCGCCTGCAAGTCTGGTCAAAAACAAACTTGGGCGGCTGAAGCATGTGCATGGCTGGATGGCAACAGCCAGAAGCCAGATTTGCAGACTCCGAGGTGACCATCGCTTCGGTGGCCTCGGCATCTGATATTTGTCTATGGATGCATTCGGTGACGGGGTTTTCACCTCAGGCCTGTCAAGGCTTGAGCCAACTGGTTTCGGCGAGCGGAACAAGTGTTTTGGAAGCAAACTACAGGTACTGAGCGAGGAGCTCGTAATTCGTGTTTAGGAATCCTGAAGCCTTTCAATCCGGAAATCGGTCAAGCTTACATGCCAAGACAACTTCACAGCAGGGGGCGCCTTGGCTATACATAAGTCAGATGCCAACGAAGACACCTGTTTGGGGCCAAGCTTCCATATCTGCATTCTCTTTATCATCTTCTTCTTCAGCAGGATTTGAAGCAATCAAAGTGAACACCCTTGCAGCCTGTACAAAAGGATGTCTCTGGGGAACTGAGCTTATGGTTCGGCTTCGGAGCATCCTTTCAATGTCGGGCCGACGCTAAGTGCCTTGAGCACTGCACGACTGTCCCTGCACATTGCTTAGCAATAGTATGCCCCGCGCCACTCTCCTTCACCTCATTTCCCTCCCTGACGACGCCTGTCTGTCAGTGTCTAGACTGCATCCATCTTGGTCCGCATTTCTTTGGTACAGGGTTAGATTTCGCCAACCAGGGTATGCATCTCAAAAGCATTTCGGCACTCGATGCAACCGAAGAATTTCGCGGCCATAGCATCGCCTCTATTGGCACGCATGCTTGATATCAAACAGGAAAGAAGCCACCGTGCAGCATCCTGTCCGGGATGCATTCACTTTTGGCAGATGGTAGGTGCATCAGGCTTAATGTGTCACAGGTATCAGTGGAAATCGTTGGCGAAGATCGGGAACACCAAAGAAGCAGGGGCACTGCAACGGGTGGATGAATCATGATCTCAATTGCTACTCCTTTACTCAGCGCTGCAAACAACGAAAGCTCCAACGCCAGGCTGAACCTTCGTCCGTTTGCCTTCTCTTTCTCTCCGCTCTCTGTCCTACCTCTTCCTTGGTCCTCTTCACTCTAAACCCTAACTCTTGCTATTTCTTGTCTGCAGATGTGCCCGAGGGGTTTGAGGCTAGAGGACATGCTGCCTAAAGTTCATGTCTCTTGATGCTGACTTCGCTGTTCAGGATTTTGGGGTCAGTCTAAAACGGAGTATATCCGCACCTCCAATGACATGTTCTTCTGGATTTTTCGCGGTGTACGCGCGAATGTCGAAAGTCGTCGAAGCCGTCGGCCGTGTCTTGAAACGGTATCTTATGAGATCAGACGAGTGCCAATCTATGCATCTATCAGTGGCAGAGGTATTTAGCGTGGAGGCACTTGTAAGGGTCAGGGTAGGCAGACCTTTGGGAACCACTGATTGTACAGACACCCAACAAAGCCTAGATGCCGGACTCCAAACCGGAAGGCTGTCACTCCATGATGATTCCAAACATATCCAAACTCCGAACTCAGACATAATTGCTAGTACGCGCAGTTCAACGCATCCTGAACTTGAAGCTTCCAGCCTTGGAGTTCGCGCCCTAAACTCAGCGCCTCGTGGCAATGTGCCAGCGATGCTAGCGGCGCCTCCACGCCATGCTCGCCGGACCCC